ATTCTTCGGCGCAGCTAACCTTTCCCTTAGTACATTCCAACAGTAGGGGATCTGGTAATTGCTTCCATTAAAAAATCAGCAGGAGACGTCTTTTATGCAAACCTTAGCGACTTTACATCGGATGCCAGTCTACCGGTCCTCTCCTTCGAAGGAGCTACGAAAAAAACCAGACCGCAGCTTGAAAAGGGCGCGCTAGTATATGCACGAGTTACTCTTGCAAACAAACATATGGACCCTGAATTAGAATGTGTATCAGCATCGACGGGTAAATCAGAAGGTTTGGGACCATTGGAGGGAGGGATGCTTTTCGATATATCTCTCGGAATGGCAAGACGAATGATGATGGCTCGCCCAGCTGAACAAGGTGGTTTGACGATACTTGAGGAATTGGGAGAGGCTGGTGTTTCGTTTGAGATTGCCGTGGGAAGGAATGGAAAAGTTTGGGTGGATAGTAAGACAGTAAAGACTACATTGGCGATAGGAAAGGCCTTGAAAGAAACGGACGAAAAGGGTCTGTCACCGGAAGATCAAAAGAAACTAGCTAAAAAGCTGGGACGCGAGGCTTGAAATACGATACCCTAGAATAGAATAATTACGCCATTGGAGAAGCTTTGCAAGAGGCTAAAGCAAAAGAGACGACCCCGTACCAACATTCCTCTCATATCAGCCCTTACAGGATATGATACACGATCGCAATCCCTTCCCTCACTCCCTCACTCCCTCACTCCCGCCACTCATACTACAATAATCCTTCACAAGCTTCGGTTGGGCTGCTCTATAGCAGTACGCATGGAGTCTACAGATGCTTCCAAGCGTGTATTCTCTAGAATAACATGCAAACCGTATTGATAACCAAGCGCAATGCATTTCAGTTGCCCCAACTTACTCACCAAGTTTCCGATTGATCAGCATACAGTGACACGATGAAACTGGGAGGCAAACTAGGAAGTATATATAATGATGATGTACACCATGCAAATTTCTTCCCTTATTCATTCAGAATATTCATCATGTTTCGCTTTACTACTACAATCACATTGGCTATTCTCTGCCTAGCCAAACCATCACTTTCGAGACCCATCCCTAGAAATGAGAAAGGAGAACTTAGTAAGATCTCGTCCTATCTATCTAGTGATCAGAATACTAATGCTTTACTAGTTGATGTCAATATTCAACTCGTACCGGGACTAGACATAGGAGTAAATGTTGGTTGTGGTGATAATATTGTGGATGTGAACCTCAATTCCCTACGCCTGCCCTTAATTCCTTGTACCAACACTCAGAAATCGATTTCAACAACGGGTGTGACGTTGCCATTGATAGGCAGAGATATGAAAAGCAAGCCCGTGGGCTTGCCAACTTTGCCAAATTCTACTGGACGTGTAAAGGTCATAGATTCATCTATCCGAATTTTGCCCAGTACCTCAGCGTCAACATCAATTAGCATATCAGAATTTATCGGTCCTATAACAGCTACAGATTCGTCAATTCCTAAGTCTTCAATTGTCAGCAAATCTACCCCTATCAAGATCGACTCAAGACGGCTTCACACACATCATCGTACATTGGCAGCCAATCCCCCACCTACCATATTCATAGAACCTATTCCTACCTCGACGAATCCACCCAAAATAAAACATACTCATCACCGGCTGACGAAAACTTCCAAGGCCATACAGTATACTTCTGTACATCCTCATCCCTTACCAACTCAGACTCTGATCAAGAGATTGGGAACAACGACAAAGTCATTGACAGTCGACTCGCACAAAGCTAAATCAATATCCGCCTGGAACTCGCTTCCGCAAACGAGATTTTCCATAATACCAGTCAACTCTATATCGGGAGAAAAGACTACCTTGGTAACAAAGGCCTCAGGAAGCTCATCAATAAGGAGGGCTACTTGGCATCCGCCCGCGGAGACTTTATATCCTCCTGTGGTTGAGCGTGGAGCACCAGACAAAGGTTGGAAGAGAACAACTAGGTGGCATCCATCGGCTGAGAGTTCGTATCCTCCCGTAGTTGATCGTGGATTTCCAAACAAGGACTGGTGAACTGACGGATAATCATTACATGGGTTTTACGTCCTGGCGTCCCTGTCTAACCCATACCAATTGTTTGGCTTTGCTACTTTCCTCATTTGCATGCTGGTTGTCGCACCTGGTAGTTGCAGTCAAAATTCTAGATAGTCGATCGTTATTTTACAAAACTGTTGGTGACGGCCAGGAGCCGTTGTGGTGTCAATAAAAATGAATTAGTTCTTCCTTGCAAGTTTGCTTCACAAAAATTTGTCAAAAAAACTTCTGTCATCAGAGGGCCTATTTTCATTCAATACTATTTAGTAATTTCGAATCTTCAAGAACCTCTGTATGTAGTCCTTCATACACGAAAACTTCAGTGCTATATGTGCGGCAATGTTCCTTGCAACTGTTCATTAAACATTACTCCCTCCCTCCCTTGACCTCTCTCGTTCATTCATCACTTAGTAACCATACTCGATCAGTATACCAAACCCAATTTTATACAAAATGCCAATTTTGACAACACCTGAGCTCCGGTTGCAGCAAGGACTTGATCCTAACCTGGCCCATCACAACCATCCATACGTCATCTCATCATCATCATAACCATCAAGTCGATTCATTTCTTCGTTATATGCCACCGGCCAGTCCTGGAAATTTTCTTTGAGGCCTTGATCTTGGTTATCGCACATCGTCAATCCCTCAAAAATCTCTTCCATCACTTTCCGTCCATTCTGGTTCCCCTCCTCGATGATCTCTTCTAGTTGATGACCTATCATGCAAACGAGCTCGTCATCATAATAATCTCCTCCATGGCCATTGATAAAGTTGAATAGATTTATAAATCCTTGTTCCATGCACCAGCGGTCGATGTCCCGATTGTTTCTAATACCTTCTGCAATGTTTGACACGGAAGGCTTCGCTGTGGCTTGTTCTTCATCAAATTCGGCCGGGTTGGTATTTCGTGGAAATTCGACCTCATCTCCAAGTCCTTCACTAATGAGTGATTCTCGTGTGGCTCTTTGCTCGTTTTCGTATTCCGCATCATCTTCGGCAGCTACCTCTTCAAAATTCCCCTCAGCCTCACCAAGATTCTGTTCCGCTTCAACCTTTATGGACTTCTTGATAAGATCTCCGACCTCTTTCACATCGTCGTCATTCGCGAAATCTAAAGTATGATAGTCCATATATTCTTCAAGGCAAGACCATCCGCGCTTTATGAGCCATTCATAGATTCCTTCGTCTTCGTTCCGAATTCTGTAAATTTTCTCGAGTTTTTCTTGCTCGCGAACTTCGATATAGCGTTTTAGATTGCTATCCTTCGATCTGTCTAAGTCTTCGTCTTTATCGTAGTCTTCCCAGTCGCTGTCGTCGGTCATTAGATCGAGAATTTCGTCTCTCTCTTGATTATTATCCCGTTCATTCTCTTTGACACCATCTTCATCGCAATTTCTCTCCTTCATACCCTCATCCATATCCTCTTCATCCATATAATCCTCACTTGCCAAAGCATCGCAAAGAAGCTTCTCGAATTCAGCGTCCAGTTTCTCATTCATGTCATTGTCGTCCAATTCCTCCAACTCATCCTCGTCATCCTCGGCTCCCCAGTCTTGCATTTCCTTGTTTGCGAACGGGTCGCTGTTTCTATAATTGCACAAGACTTCTTCGGCTTTCATGTAATCTGCCGCACTTGTTGGATCATATTTATGTGTAACTATGAAGTCTTTGAAAGTTGGCCAACCTCTTGTGTTGAGCCATTCGAGCCGAGAGAGCCTACAGGTGTAGCTTGGTCTGTTCATTGTTGCTAGAGAATTTGGAAGGTAGTTTGATGTCTTAAGTTGTGCTGAGATGTTGTCGTCTTTAAATTGAGTTTTAGAGAGTAGCAAAGACTTAAGAAATTGCTAGACTGTACATTTACTCTAAATAATCAAAACATGACTCCAGAAGTTCTGGCAATATGGAAGAAAATTAGCTATCTAATTTGAAGAAGTTTTCAAGGTGAAATTCTGAACATCGGCTTCGGGTAGTGCCGTCAGGCCATTGACCACAAATGGATTGGCAATAACATTACAAGACCATGAAGCTCTCAAAGTGAACTACAGCTATCCCAGTGACTAGTTACTAATTGGATTTTGTAAAATATTATATGATTCACTAAGATTCACTTTCCTTTCAATCCATGGAGTGATTCCAATTTCAAGATGGCAATTAATCAACGAGATCTTGTGGAAGCATGATACAATGAGTTCCACATGTATTTTAAGTCGCTTAAACGTTTTCTAAGCTATGGGGAACGAACCAACTTTCTCAACCCTTTGTTTTCATCTGATGTTTATAGTACAAACTATGATATAGAACATGATTTAGATAGTCTGATTCTATACCATGCTCAAGCACAAGTTATATTGAAGGAAAACTGTGTAGGTGAAAGAAGATGAAATACTTAAGTACCTAAATATAGGCAATAGGCAATAGGCACAGAAGGAGGATTTATATCCATCATTTGTAATTTTGTGAATCTTCATAGTCTGTTGCATATCAATCATCTGAAAAAGTACTAAAATTCTCCAATGGTCAAATAGTTATAAGTTGAACAAAGCAAGGCACACAACCATTTCAATGAATCACAATTCACAAATTTTACAAGGAATTGAATAGGTGTCGATGCCTTCATTTATAAATCTAACGACCAACAAGTATCTAGGCATTTCTTTTGTCTGTCTCCATGAAAAACTATCCATCCAATATTCCTCCTGCACCTCTGTTCTCTGCTTTCCTTCCATACACTTGACAATCTCATCCAACATTGCTGCGCTGGGAGTCTTTAGCGTTTAAGCGAACGAAAGAATCCGCTGTGTAATAGCCCATAAGGTTCGGAATGAATAGTGGCGTTCAAGTATGTTCAATCAAGGAGCCCTCATGTTTAGTGAAACATTTCTCAGGATGATATAATATCATCAGGATCATTTTCTGCATCACTTAAAATATCTTCACACTCTGCCACGTTGCCAAAATCCAGAGAACCAATCCTACCGCACTCATGTAGCCCGTCATTTTCAGCCTGAATCTCAGATCTCCCATTTCCACATGCCACGTCCTCAACAAATTGCAAACCCATAGCAGATAAACTCTGCCCAGGAACAAAAATACTGTCGCTTTCACTCTTTCCCCAGAGACCATAAAGTAGACGCAGGTCATTTGAACACAAATGCCTAATACACATCCAAAAACAAGTACGAGGATTTGCGCAAGAACTTTCTGGAGATGTGGTTCGGTCATCGTTAGCACTAGGGAGCGAGGAGTCAGGGTGAAGTTTAAGCGGGTAGCTTGGCTTTCGTGGACTTCACGACGATAGTTGCGATTGCGACGCTCGAGGATGAGTTCTTGGGCGTATCGGGTCATAGCTAGGCCGAGATATGTTCGCTGCATCGTGTGGAGCCAGTTTTGTTCCTCCCGAATTGTGTGAAGTCGAGCTCGTCTATTTTGCGGTTCCTGTTGCAAATTAGGCATATTGGTAGTTGCGTTCTTCTGTTTTTGAGAATTCTTTCTGTAAAAAAGTTTGATTGATGAGAGTCTTTGGATTAATTGAATAGATGGAATAGATAGAATAGATAGAATAGATTTCTTTTCCTGTTGAGCTGGCATGATGTATATATATATACTTTAAGCTCTCGAGTAGATATTAGCACACTCGATCTGGTACGGCTGATTGAATTATCTCTCAACCGTACGTAGAGTTCATGTAGAATCACAATCTAAGAAACGGTTTACGGTGCCATTTCTCATCGCCGTATCATTTAATATACAATGCCGTATCGATTATGCTTTCAAACTCTGAATCTTATACATTGCATAGTAGCAAGTTGTGATAGGCTTGTTATTTACAATTCTCAGTGTTCTTACGTCAAAGGGGCGGAGATGAGACATCGGTCAAATCACTCATTGAAATAGTCTAGCATTGAATGGCAATTTGAGATTGACACTTCCGATCCGATTCTTGATAACAGTTTGTATGTAGAGATGAAGATTGATTTCCTTAGTACTATGTGATCATCACTAGCTATCATCTGCCAAAGAGAACTCGTTTCCGTCCTCATTTCCTCTTCATCTCACCTTGTCTACAACCCCTATCTTTTCCTTATTAATCATAACAACGGAGTTCCAAGCTCTATTGCCAAGTATGCAAAACCTATACCCGTAAACATGGTTGTCAAAGCAAAAAGCAACTTTTCCCTTCTACTATATTCCTCCGACCATACAACATTCATACACCAATGGATACTCAAGTGAAGCCACATTCTACCCCCAACTAGGATCCCAGCTTTATAATAAGCCTTCTTAGAAATACCGCAGCTGCAAACAATAAACTCGACCATGCGTAATAGTATCCAGATCAAAATGATAGATAAGATAAACCTGACCTTTTCCATGTTGAATTGGAAGAATAAAGTAAATCTTCTAGAAGTAGTAATCAACTTGCACCTGATTGGGCCGAGATTAAAGATTCTTTTTCGTTCTTCGTCGACGAGGATATTGAACCCGTCAAAAGAGTAAGCTATCTGCCATTTGTCTAACCACTCTGTAAAGTCTACCGGCCGGCCGTTAATAGTATATCGTCGGGGTGGGAAAGATAAATGGTCTTCAGAGATAGCCATCAGGATGCTATTTCGGATCAGTATTGAGTTGTTCGAATATGCGTATCTTGGTGAACTTTGATATTGGGTCGCTGGTTGGATGAAGCCTTTTGTTTATTTGAATCGATTATGAGAAAGCTTCTGTGAGATCTTTGGTTCCCGTCGATTATGTTAGTGTGTAATTCAATGAAAAATAATTTACCGTATCTACTGAAATTATTGATATGGCTTGCTACTCGATGCGCGAGGTTCATTGCGGAGATACGGTAAACTTTTTCCCCAGTGAATAGGTTTCCAAGGTTGTTTTTGGCACACGATTTCTAATCTAATTTCGGACAACTACTTCATGACTGCAGTACGGGAATTTTCCTCGCGTAGCTTCAATCACTACATGACCACCAAACAAAATTCACTCGATGACAGAACTACTTGAAATTATGCCCTCTGAATTCCAATTATTAATCCAACATAGGTGTTTATAAACAACACGATTCTGGACGAGGAACGATGACTTTCTCCGGAAAACCCTACAAGCAAAATGATCAGCCAGATGCGCACCTATTGTATTCCCCCGATTAGTCCTGACTTCATTCGCCATTCTCGATTGTCTTTGTCTTATGCGCCCCGTCAAACTATCTATAGGCATCTTTCACGTCAAACTTCCCAAGTGTTAACGTGTTAAAATAGGTTCTGACTCATTCATCACCAGCCCATGCCCAATACAATTTTTGGATTTAAATTCAAGAGGTCTCCAGAAATATTTGACCGGATATGATTGATATCCTGGTCCTATCATCAATAGTTCGGACATGAAGGAATCAGGGCCGGATTAATATCTTGGGTTCCAATTAATAACTTGGTAGAGTGTTGACATCAAGTTGCTATTCTCAGTTAAATATCGCGACCACAAATGGCATGCACAGATAGAATTGATGGTGTAGATAAACTTTCTTAATTGGGTGATGATTAAAGTCCACAACTTGCAGGTGTGTCCTTCTGGTGTCAACACCAGTGTTCTGGGTCACTTTGTACCAGTAAAATACTAATAAGTACATCCTAAAGCATAGCCTCCCAAATGACTAAATCCACACAACATTCACAAATCAAAAAGATATGACTTCTTCAATCCTTTGCTGATCCTCCACTACCATAAGACGGATACGACTACATCATTAATTAGTTAACATTATTCCCCAAATGCTATCAGTGAAACATACCCTCAAAGTTCCCATAAACTCAACTGGTTTCTTGTCATCGAGGATGACTTCACTTGGACTAGTGCTATCGCCTGCAGAAAGTTGCCTTCCATCTTGATTACCGGGTGCATACGAGCGGTCTCCAGCATCATGATTCGCGGCACTATTGGTCTGCGTCTGTTCGGAAGTATTTGGAAAACCAGTGGATCTTTCAGCGTCAGACATTGCTTCCTCCTCCTTGATTGCTCTGATTGCCGCCAGAACCATCTTGCCCCGTTCGTAATCCTTGTCATTTTCCATTCTTAGTTGGTAAGAAAACATGAAATGATTCATCGACTCAAAGCCGTTCTTCTTGAGCCAAGCGGAATCAGTCAGTCGAGGTGCCTTAACTGAAGAACTCATGATTGAAGAACTGATATCGTTCAAGAGAAGTCTTGGGAGATCCTGTGAAAAGCTAAGGTTTATCTGTTTGTGGAGTTTTGTTGTTAAGGTGGATAGTGTTTTTGAAAGAAAGCATTCGGGGTAACGATCTTATAGATACGAATCATGGCGAGAAATCAAGACGCTTCCAAGGTTAATGCGGGGTAGTCCCTTTTCTCATTCACGGTAGCACCGCCTGAACTATTTTATTCTGTGGGAGTGAATGGAAGTTAGTGCTGTAGTTTACAGTGAATCATCACATTGTCTAGCTTATTTTCAATGATTTATTGGGTAGCAATTCATAATATCTCCACATAAAGAAATATCAATCGTATCTTTTCCTTTATCTTATTCTAATTCTAAAGCAGTTTCGAAGATGTTTCTTGTAAATTTCCTGTGATGGCCCTTGCATATTTGAACCCAAACACATTTCAGAGAATTTGAAATGTGCTCTTCCCCTCGTGGGAGAACCAGAAGATGATTGTGTGTTATTTTCAAGTGGACCAACTAATTCTGAGGACTGATTTCCAATTTCCGACCATTAGCCATTCTTGACCTGACGGATTGTAAGGATATAATCTTTGGTTTGAGCTCTGCAAAGTGAGAGGAAATTCACAAGTTGTTCTGCTCCAAAACGTTCAGGTGCAACTTTCAGAATCGTACTCGAAGCAGTCCTTGACATAATATCGTGGTACTATTGTTCTTTTGATATTCTAGAATCATTGGGGAGCCTCGGAGACTTTCGCCCTAAACTAGTATTCTGGAACTCTTGTGTTTATCAATGACATTCGAGTAAAGTAATCGAAATTGGGTTGTGGCTGTGATGGCATGTAGTCTGCTCAGCCGCTATCTAATAATGAGGTCATCGTTTTGTCTATTTGCTATTTGTTTTGTGAGAACTTTAAAGTCTCTATTTAATTACAGAGTAATGAAGGTAGAGTTTTTTATGTGATGTTGCTGGATGAAAAGCTTCCGGGTTGCGGAATTAGAACATCAATATTTGAAGTCATAACATGAAAGGGGATAAAATTTAGCCGAAGGATGGTGCAGCTGTGCAGAGTTCTTTCAGATGCTTTCTCTTAGATTTCAAGTAATCAAACTCCCTTGCTCTAGATTCAATCTCTCTTTAAAACGCTGATCTCAGTAGAAAATATGCGTAAGAGGGTTCATTTTCAAAAATTTGGGCCCCGTTTCTTTCCAATCCTCCGCGTTGCACCAGAAATAGTTCGTATTTATCCTTAAAGATGTAGTACAGAGACCTAAGCCACAAGACGCTTCCTGATTAGACTTCAAATCATGAATTAACTGAGACCACGGATCTTCAATCTCAATAACAAGGCTGACAAAACCGTTCCTGAAATTTCTCAGAAGTATGGATTCCAATTCATGAAGTCAGATAACATGAGAATTTCTAGCAGGATCCCTATAGTATTGCCCCTCCAAACCCTGTTTATTGCCACCATTAATGTCAGTGAGAAGCCTACAAGTAGTCCGTAATTGATACACTGGCTACTATAGAGTCGAGACCAGTCGAAGCAATCAAACACTTCTGCAGCTTTCAATTCATCATTATCTATCAATTGAGTGATATTAGGTGTCGAAGCTAAAGTAAAATGACATGCTATCAATATTGCTGATTATCGCTGATTATCGAATTGATCTACTATCAAACTTCCAAAGGACTCATTCGACATCTGAGATGGTCAGAAATCGTCATTTCATATGTTGAATGTCGCCATCTAAGACTCTTTCAAAAGAAAAGAAACTTATCTGGGTGGTGAAATTGCTGGGGGCGGGAAAGTATGTGTAAATGCACAAAAACGGATACACTTTGTTATCGATCGATATACATCTATCATGACCAGTGTTTCACAACATTGACAAACAGTGATAAATATGCAGGAAAGTAAAAGAAGCAATAAGGTTAAGGTTCTAGAAAAGTGAGACTATTCCCATTTGTGGATTTCTCTTACCCCAACCTTATTTCAAACTTTATTTACTTTCATTATTAATTGATGAGATCATTATTTTACTTGACGTTGAGCTATTTGCATTAACTTAAATTTGTACATTGCCAATAACAGTGAGAATCATTCATAAAAAAATTGCTTTAAATGTCGAGGAATTGTGAAAAAAGCTATTGTACTCGCACCAATACTCTAACTCATTTCTTGCGGTACTTTTTCTTCTATAGTAAATAGAAATGCCTCAAATGAAGAGATATAGCACGGATGAAAACTATAAAAGGAGGAGGAAAACTTTAAGTAAGAGGGGACATCGAACGAAAGGGGGCTAACAAGGACAATCGAACATCTGTAGTGTAGGGTTACAATAGAGATGGCGTAGGAATGCCCTCAGCGTCTGTCGCTTATTCGTTACTCGGATTACATAGGATCTGTTCTTCGTTCGCTTTGATCACATTCATGCGGTAACGAGTTCTCATCACACGACTTTACATACGTACATCAATGATGTCGTCGTATAGAACTTTATCCTCCTTATATATCTCTCTTTATACGAGCTGACCCCCTTTCTTTCTACACACAATTTTTCAAGCACATGAGTAACGTCAAAAGCTACTCAAATACCAACATTTACCCTATACAGTGTATTAAAACTCACAACTACCACACCATCAAGCGACAAACTTTTCATGAAACCACCTCAGTCTGATACTATTTCATAGGCTCCGAAGCTTATCAGCCAATTCAGCTTACATTGAGTTTCCTTATAAAGCCTCAACCAACACAAGATACTTAAACACTTCATTCAATAATGTGTATCAGCTTCGCCTCTCCTGCTCCAGCCCACTGCCCTCTCGACTCTCTCCGCCCCGCCAATCCTACTCCTTACCACCCGGAAAACCTTCCATCAATCTTATCACCTTTCTTTCGTCCCTCCAACCCAACTCCTTACCATCCACAAAACCTTCCCCAGGATCTTGAAGAGACACGATCCATATGCCGCGTCCTGAAAGAAGCTGGATTTGTCAACATAGAGCAATTCTTAGATTCGCATGATTTGAGGGATGATGAGAAGAATCGCATGTTGAGGGCCTGGGAGTTCAATGAGGGAATAATAGAGGACTGCTTGGTTCAGAACGCGAAAGAAGAGATCTTGATGCAAAGAGAAAACGAAATTAATGGTGGGAGGGAGAAGGAAAATGAGGTCTTTGCCTCATTTGCTGGCATTAAAAAACATGCCAAGACTGTGAAATCCAAGGTTTTGGGTGAGAAGAGAAATTTTATCACACATCAAGCACCCATACCCCAAAAAACAAGTGATGAGATGAATTATAGCTCCGATGAATCTTATTTCTCTAATTGCTAGCGGAGATGAATATTCATTGGAATAACGATCAAAGATGGAGCGGTATAGCAGACCGGCTAGGAGATTCTATTACCGCCGGACGGAATGATATCTTGTCAAAGGAGGTTGACAAAAACATAATGTAATATCGGATACTAGAGAGTTCAAAGCAGGCTACAACAATGCTAGGCAGATACAATACACCGTGCCTGCAGCGAAGACACAAGGAATTGCAATGAGTGTACTTACACTTTCGAGCGGTTCCGTTGCAAGGAGAAATGGTAATAGCGACGAGTTAATGGATTATGAGATCATTGTTTCGTCCGATGAGATCGATCACTGATTACTCAGAAGTGGGGTCATTGGTTGAGCACATGGTTTGCACGTGGTATAGTTAGTTAGTTCGTGCATGGCTAGCGTTAGAGAATTGACCATGAAGCGAATGTCACCGGCTGAATTGAAATGTCGATCTACCAAACTTTATTTTTCCTAGAACTGTGATGTGATTAGTGAGAAAATGCACATTAGTGATTCGACCTTGCTAGCCCTCTTCAGGTCTTCCGGAGACTCTTACGCTATCAGGTTAGTGTGATTCCCCAGGTTTCAATGTTCGGTATCTAACCTACCGAAGCATGATTTCTCTTCTCAAGTTCTCTTCCCAATCTCATTACCTCGCGCGAATTTGAAGTTCTCTCCATATCTAGTCGCTTTAATGGCGGTTGAGCTGCGAATGAAGGAGAGATATGATTTTAAGAACACGATACCTCAAGCTTCCAACTACGATCGAGAAATTCCATACGAACATGAGAGCCAAGGCCGAAATCTTTATCAGGGAGATAAAGTCTTATTTCACTACTAGTCTATCGTGGAATCGAAATTTCCATCTGATAGTCCTCGCCATCTTGGGTGTGAAATTAACCATCGTAAAAGAAATCATCATCTCCATCATCTCCATCATCTCCATCATCTCCATCATCTCCATCATCTCCATCATCTCCATCATCTCCATCATCTCCATCATCTCCATCATCTCCATCATCTCCATCATCGACCATACCAATATCAACATCAACATCGACACATTCATCCGGTTCTTCTTCCCTAGATGAAACCCTATCCAGTTCCTCCACAATTTCAACCCCAGACACCTGAAATCCATCATCCACTTCGTCACTACTAACCACGTCCGCAAATTCGATTGACTCTTCTATGCCATCTTCTTCTTCCTCATCACTAACCACCTCCAAAACCCTGATTGATTCCACCACACCACCTTCTTCATCACTAACCACCTTCAAAACTCCGATCAATTCAACTACATCATCATCATCTTCCGAGCTCTCCATACCTCGTTGATCCTTCACATTTTCTTCATCGTTAGCCGCCCTAAACTCCAATCTCATCAGATCCTCCCCCATCAAATCTTCCTCCTTCATCCTCTCAATCATTTCTTTTGCTTGCTCTAGATGTTCATCATCATGTAATTTCAATCCATGTGAGAACATGAAATCGTTCATGCTGCGAAAGCCGGCATCTTTGAGAATTCTGTAGGTTGATTTTGGGGGCTTTGAATCTGTTGAATAGGTTGGTTGGTTGCTACTTTTGGTAGATTGAGGGGAGAAACTGGGTTGGATTCCGGTAGAGGTGCTCATTTTGGCGCAGGTTTGGGAGTTAAGATGGGTGAGTTGTCTTGGTGTATTATTTTTTGACGTGTCAGGACTTTGGATTGGAAAGTATGTTGATGTTAAAATTGATATTGTGGTTGTGGTTGTGGTTGTGTTGTGAAAAGTCTGTGGATGGTAGAATATCTACTCACATTATAGAAAAGAAATGATGTTGATAAAGACATTTGAATAGAAGCGAAGAAAGGCGGGGTAAAAGATTACATGTTGTTCCACTTGGGCTTTGTTTGCTAGCTAATGAATTGGACCAAGTGAAAAAGAAGAATTGAAGTGAAATGAATGAATGTTCAGTAGAAGGTCGGTTCTACAACTTACGCGAGCTGGCTCCAGGGTTCCTTTGACTCTTGTATTATTGTCATGTCTGATTCTTTGCAGTATCCAAAACAGTAGGTGATAATATTCATATATAGGTAACTTGGTATCGTGAATACAAGATTATTCTTCTCGCATCCCTCCCCCCCATACAACCTATTCAGCTTCCAACTACTCTCCAGAACTCCTCCTCTTCAAGGACTTTCAAAATAATGGATTCCATCCGTCAAAGCTACCGTAATAATCTGCGTAACCTCCTGTCCATCCGCACTCTGATCTTCTGGAAGTCTCTGTAGCACGTTATTCGTAAAAGCCTCATGTCCCAACAGCAACAAGCCTAGACCAGCCACAATAGCACCATCCAATCCTTGCTCCTTGAACAATTGCTTTTTCCCCTTCAGGGTATTTACGGCAATAGGATTGTCGATTGCGAGAGTAACATTCACATGTTCAATGAGTGATTGTGCGTCTGATTCTGATATTGAAGGAGGCAAGAGAGCGGAGTCTGTGACACCTTGTAGAAGAGAAAGATAGACTGCTGTGAGAGAGCTGAGAAGGGGAGCGGCTGGGATGAGACCACCGTTGTAAAGGGCGGTTTGGGAAGTGAGAGCTCGGACATTGTTGTCGAGGGTTGTGATGTCGTTTATCACTTGGGTGACGGTTGTAAGGGCTAATGCGGTCGAGGGCCACAAGAGGAGGGCTTTGATAGATACCATTTTGAGTTACAAGGAGTGATGTACGATGGACTGTGAAAGTATATCAAGCTTTTGACATGGATGACTCAAAAAATCAAGGGAAAAAGATTGCAAGAAGTACAAAGTCTGGGCGAGTAAAGAAGGCAAGGCGAAGAAGGCAAGGCGAGGATAAACTTTTATAGGAAGTGCTTATTGAGAGATCGCCCACTAGGGAGGGATCCTTCATCAATCGACAATTATTCCCGATCTAGGATTAACATCTTTCCAGATATAGTAACCTGTAACCAAGCCTTGGTGCTCGCTAATGGTGGATCGGATCATCAGTTTGGAATCGTTGGATCGATTCAGTTATAGACTGAAGAAGATTGAATATTAGAAAACAGCAGCTTATGCGAGAATGGCTTGAATCAAATTATACAATTATTCTCAGCTTTAGATCAACCCACACGAACTGTCGAGTCCTAGACAGCTGCTCAATTGAAGACATAAATATATCATCAAAGAGGCTGTAGATAGAGCCTGCGGATGATTGACAAACTGTTGAAGTAGCTGAAAACAAGGTACCAAACGATCTACCGTGGGCTGCATTGAATAGCGTTGTGATGTGCAACGCTATTTGATAGACACCGAAACTATTCACAAGCCATTACCATGGGGTTAACCGAACCGCCTGGGCCATTCGGCACATGTGGCTGGCACGCGAGGCACGTGTCAAGATGTGATAGCGATCAATCGTTCTGCAGAAGGGTTCGAGCAACATTAGAGGAACAATGATCCTCACTCCTTACATTTTGTACAGTTTGGAGGAGATCGAGAGGGCAGAATGTTTTTCATCGCGCAATCACCTGTTTGCTGTTTCTGCACGGTACCTGGCCGAGGCCCACGGGTACCTTACCCCGCGAAGTATATCTGATCCCCAGAACTTAGAATGCCGGGCTCATCCTCTAGCTTCCGAGCTTCTCCATATGCTTTGACATGTCGGCTGAGAGCTTGTGTGAATGATTAGATGCAGGCACCATTTCCAAGTTTGTACCTTTGGTGCGCTTGAGGGTGAGTGACCTATGCCGCTGTGTGAGTTCTGAGAAAGAGATACATCCGTGTTATGGATAGCCTAGATTCCATCGTATAGTACGTCGAACAATGTTACTTATCGAGCTCAAATAGATATAGATTGAAAAGACAATTTTTATGCTAGAAAATAGTTGTGCACAAATCCAGAGAGAGGCACGCTTACATGAGAGAGAGAGAAATCATCGCCATTCTGCCGCTTTCATTTTCCGGGCGGTGAGTCTACTTTTTTTTGGACTTTGAACATCTCCGGAAATAACTTTTCGGGATGGTTCTTATTCCCAGACGATGGGAATTTTCTTATTTTCTTGTCTAAATCTGGAGGTGGTTGAAGAAACTGATCTTTTTTTCAGATATGCAACAAAATAAGATTGTCGGGCTGTTTTCACGTGATACATTGGCAGAATAAAGCGGTGATTCGATGGATTATGTAAACAAATTGGATAAAAAAATGATTGCAGTAACTGTTCTTCTATGTCTATCTATGTCTTCTTCCTATCTCTCATCACTACGTAGTAACTTGGATCTATTGCATTAATCAATGTTTCATCTTTATCTCAGAATTTCTGCAATGAAGGAAGACATATTATCAGTACTCGTCTGGTAGTGCCTGGAGCACCCTTGGACAACCTTCGAAGATCAATCAGTTGGGACCCGCTCCTTCATGATAACGCTTAATGGCAGAGATGGTCTAAATGGTGCAATTTGGTAGTATTCTTACCCTTTGCATGTTCATATTACGGAGGTTGGGGAGGTAGGTGAATCGGTTAACTGTGCTCCTGATATGGGTTCAATCATATCAACATCTACGAAGAGATAGAACTACTCGAAGGGTCTCTTTCTACAACGATAAAGACATCAAGTGGGCCATTGTCATCACATCTTACAACGACTTGAAAACATCCAATTTCCATTCGACGAACAGCTGAAGGATACGAATTGCATCCCCATATCGGGAATGCTCTACGTGGTTCACCGACAGAAAGTACCTCGTCGCGAGCTCGGATGTACAAATGTACACGATATCATCACACCATCACATTATCACATCTTACTCCCTTTATCCACCGGATCTCTTTCCGAATTTGACCCGCACATAACCTTCCTCGCCACATGGTAACGCCACCTTCTTGGGAAATCTAGAGGTTGCATTGTCCCGACTAAATTTGCCAGGTACAAAAGTAGCTTAAGGTACCAGCAGTACCAAGACTCGGGGATTTCCGACCATTAGCCAATCACGTTATCTACTTTTATCAATTGAGGATATATAATGTTATCGTCTAACAACTTGTTTCATGGATTATCATGGATTATGTGATAATGACAGCAAATATCCCTGACCCCACCTTCCTTTTCGGTAAAGGTCCGTCAGCTCGGATAAGCAACCATCATTTTCCCATCCCATCACAACATTCAACAACTAATTTATATTACCAGGGACAATATTTTACCATGAGTATGGAAATAATGAAAGAGGTATTGATCTTCTCCAAATCTAGTACCTTCTTCCGTAATTTACTCGATTCTCAACATTTCCAAGACTTTCGTTACTAAATCAATCAATTTACGTCTTATCGTGAAGTCGTATAACATATATACACCTTCCTAATTGGGATTCACTAAATGTAAAGTTACATGACAGCTGCAACTAGGTTTAACGTGCGGGGTTTGAGGTACCAGAAAATGGAAAGTTTAACAGGGTCTACTTTTACTACATATTCCCCAAGCTCTCATGTTCTGTTGTTCTCCATCTCTATCATCCTACTCATCTTAAATTCATACCGTTCTTTGAAGCTGTGATCATGGTTGGATTCTCGATTCTCATTTCTACAGCTTTGGCTGCTCAATCAGCTCTCGCGGGTTCAGTCATTCGCTCGAGAACAAACTATGCGGTCAAGGAAAGACATTATGTTCCTAGACAATGGAAGAGAGTTGCTCGTGCTCCTGCTGAAGGTATCATTAATTTGAATATCGCATTGAAGCAGAGTCAATTTGAAGAACTTGAGAGACAATTGTATCAGGGTTAGTTAAAGTTTCAACCTGTTGCATTCGAATCGACAGAACTAACATATTCTTTACAGTTTCCGATCCATCCCACCAAAAGTACGGCAATCATTTGACTTCCGAGGAAGTCGATGAATTAGTTAGACCATCATCTCAAACTCTTGATTCCACTCACGAATGGCTTCTTGAGAACGGAATTGACGCTTCAAGCTTAAGATACAGTAGTGCAAAGGATTGGATCCATCTCTCCATTCCAGTCAAGGATGCCGAGCGCTTGCTCGATACTGAGTACCATGTTTATGAGCATGAAGCTGGTGGTCAGATTATTCGTACTCCAAATTGGTCACTTCCTATGCATCTTCATCAGCATATTGATGCCATTCAACCAACAACTTCATTCATGCGTGCCGCACCAAGATCTAGTTACAACCCAAGAGAAGCAAAGATTAACTCAAGACACACCAACGTTATTGAAGGTCAACTTAGTGCAGGACATACTCCATCTGGATATACTCCTCCATCGAACACCACGCTTTCGGCACTGTGTGACGTTGCTGCAGTATCTCCAGAATGCTTCCAAGCTCTCTATGGAACCGGAAAATACAAGCCAAAGGCGGCTGGAAAGAACAAGATTGGATTCAACAATTTCCTTGGAGAAGTTCCCATCAGAGCAGATGATGCCTTGTTCTTACTCAAGTATCGCCCAGATGCAGTAGCTTCTGCATATCAATTTAAATACGTCTCTATAAACGGTGGGCCAGTTCAAAACACCACTCTCACCGCTGAGCAATTGGCAGATGGACTTGGCAAAGAAGCCAATCTCGATCTCACAGCTATCACTGGAATCAGTTACCCAACCCCAATTACTGCCTACTCAACCGGTGGACAACCACCTTTCAATGCTTCAATTGGTACGTCTAAAAACACCAACGAGCCATATGCCGACTGGTTAAATTACGTTCTCGCACAACCTACCTCCGAAATTCCTCAAGTTATTAGTACATCTTACGGCGATGAAGAACAAACTGTTCCCGAATTCTATGCCAAGCGTGTCTGCGAACAACTCGCTCAATTGGGTGCTAGAGGTGTATCCGTTCTTTTCTCCTCCGGAGATTATGGAGTTGGAGACAATGGTACATGTATCTCCAATGATGGAAAGAACACCACAATGTTCGTTCCAGATTTCCCAACAAGTTGCCCATACATTACCTCTGTTGGAGCTACCAAATTCTTCGAGCCAGAAGTTGCTGCTTATCGTGCTACTGGTATTGATCCCATCAGCGGTGTTTATCATGGTGGTTGGTCTACTGGTGCTGGGTTCAGTAACTACTTTGCTAGACCTTCATACCAAGAAAAGGTTGTTTCTGCTTACGTCAAGAAACTCAATGGTACTTTCGATGGTCTCTACAACAAAAGTAAGTGCCTTCTCTTCTCACCTTGCGTATAGAAACATCACTAATAACTTCCAGCTGGCCGCGCATACCCTGATATCTCTGCCCAAGGTTTCTACTTCGCCTATGTGTGGAATCAAACTTACGGCTCCATCTCCGGTACCTCTGCCTCTACACCTCTCATGTCCGGTATCATTGCTCTCGTCAACGATGCGCTTCTCTCCAAGGGTAAACCAGTGCTTGGTTTCTTGAACCCATGGTTGTACAGTAAGGGATACAAGGGATTCACCGATATCCTCAGCGGAAGTGCCGTTGGATGCGATACTGCTGGTTTCCCTGTCACTGAAGGTTGGGATCCCGCTACTGGATTCGGTACTCCTAACTTCCCAGAGTTATTGAAACTTGCTGGGGCCAACTAGATAAAACTCAACTGGATTGGCTGGTATCATAGAGGAGATGGTGGCTAGGTGGTCGGTAAAATGAATGCATGAAGCATAATGAATAGATAATTCTAATGATATAATGATTACGCGCAAATTTGGTTTTATTAGTCATGTCGTGAACCTCATGATCAGATGCGAAAAATTTTGAGTGCAAAGTGACTGCAGATTGTTATATAGAAGCGAACATATTGCTATCGTCTCTATATGAATTTTGGATGAACACATAGATAATATCACACTTCATCTTATATTCAAGTAGCAGCTCCTGCTGCTGCGACGACCGGCTCCTCGGTTTCTTCATCTGAATAAGCAGCAATGGTATTCTTAAAACCGTATTCAAAGCCTTCAAAGGAAGCAATCAAGGAACCATTTAAGTGGCAACATCATCTTTGACAGAATCCTCATATGCGGACTGGTTCTCACTGGAAGAGTCATCTTGCTCTAAACCAATCTCCTGCTGTCGGCTAACCTCCTGTTCCGGTTCAGTTTCTCGTTTTGGGCCAATCTCATCGAACTCGTGGTTTGGGTGTGTCGCATCACTTGTGACCTTGCATTTTTCGCAAAAATCAAAGTCTTCGCAGTTTTGACAATGGAAACGGAAGCCGCGCATCTTTGTTGTTTGAGTTAGTAAAGGTTTAGATGAATACACTTCTTTCGTTTACTCACCTTACAATTGCACCCATCGCAGACAAGTGACCCGTGTGACATACCTGCTGAGGGCAGAACTTCATCGGAACTAGAAAACGGCTTAAGGAATTCCACAATCTCGTTGTGCTTGTTATAGCTTGCGATTTGCCGTGGAGTCCAGTTCTTGATTGATTCTAGTTCTTTGACATCCGGGTGAAAGTCTAGTCCAAGAAGCATTTTCACAACTTCCAAGTCGCCAGCCTGCGCAGCCCAGTGAAGGGGAGTCCAGCCATTGATGTCTTTCCGGTGATAGTCATGTTCATTGGGAGAGAAGCGAACTATTAGGTAAGATATCATATCCATCGATCCGCTGACAAAAGTGTGGTGTATGAGGTCCCGGTCCTGTAGATCATGGAAAGTTGGTCCGAGCAGATTCAATCCTTCAGAACTTTCTCTGAATAGCTTTCTCAGTATTGAATAAGCGCCGATTTGTGCTGCGAACTGAATTGCGGTTCTTCCTTGCATGTCTTTCGATTCCGCACTAGCGCCGAAAGATAAAAGATGATCTACAATGTTCTCGGCTCTCCACCAAATAGCTTCTTGTAGTGCATTTCTAGTATGCTTCTGTTCTCTTTTAGGTTTTGCACCTGACTCTAACAACAACAATACAAGTTCCTCGTCTTCTGCATAAATAGCTTGCAATAGGCAATTTCGTTCATAACTGCCCCATTCCTGTTCTATATCGGCTCCTTTACTCAGAAGTAATTTGATGCTATCCAAATTCCTGTTGAGAACCGCTAGTGATAAGGGTGTCTCATTGGAGTTGTTTGCAGTATTGACAAGCGCTTCCTTCTCTAAAAGTAACTTTGTGATAATTTCATTTCCATTGCGAGTAGCCCATAACAGTGGTGTCTCACCTGTGTTGGATGCGATATTTGTATTCGCCCCCCTATCTAAGAGCAATCCGGTGATGATTTCATTGTCGTAACGAGCTGCTGACAGAAGTGGCGTTTCTTTTGCTCCATTTGTCATTTCAATATTTGCTTCTGGGCCTAAGAGGCATTTCGTGATTTCATTAAATTCATAGCGAATCGCCAATGAAATTGGCGTCTCCCCAGTATCATCCATCGCATTTATGTCCACTCCATTCCTTAACAGCAGCTCTACATTCCGTAAAAAGCCCCTCCTACTTGCTTCTATTAAAGCTGTCGATCCACTGACGGCTTCTTGTACATTAGGATCCACACCTAGATCTAACAATAGATTCATGAGATCCCCATCACCAGTGTTGTACGCCAAAGACATTGCAGGATGGAGCTGCTCCATATATTGATCTTTATTCAGGGCGCTCTTAACTTCTTCACCGAGTAGAAACATCACGACCTTCGGATGCTCGAAGTTCAATGCCCAGATAAGTGGAGTCCAGCCATCCGTGTCTTGGGCCTCCAATCTAGCACCGAAAGTCAAAAGAAGTTTGACCATTTCGAGGTTGCCCTTCCAGGCAGCGACAGAGAGTGCTGTCTGCTCGTATGTGCTATTTCTCTTCTCAAGGTCAGCACCATGGTCAATTAAAACCTTGACACATTCTGTATATCCACATGTCACTGCATAGGAGAGAACATTATCTCCGTCAGGGTCAACTTCATTGGAGTCCGCACCGTTGGCAAGAAATAGTTCTATTGCCTCGTGTTTGCCATTCTCGACAGCAATAAACATGGGTGAATCTTTTGTCACGGGCTCATTTTTTAGAGTGACGCCGCTTTTTATGAATTGATTTAAGATGTCTAGCTGGCCGCGCTCTGCTCCCCAAGAAAGAGCTGTGCGTCCATTCATGTCTCTGAGATCTTTGTCAACGCCAGCTGCAAGAAGCTTTTTGACTCCAGGCTCGTATCCTTGAGATACTGCCAGCATGAGCGCAGTGAGGCCATAATCATCGGCTAGATCGATATACGATGATGGCTTCGAAGGAGAAGAACTATTGCTAGGCCTCCACCGCTCCAGTATACTTTCTATCATCGTGTCGGACTTAGCATGCACTGCTAAGTGGAGGATTGATCGTCCATTATCGGTCTTAAGTTGGCTGATGTCTACCGCGATTTCCTTCGAGTCAATGAGAAATTCGAAAGGTGTCTTAAAGTTGTTTTTAACAGCCCAGAGCAATAGTTTCCCGCCGTTAACAGTTAAATTTTCTTGTTTCAATAATGATTTAATTACCGAAGCTAGCTGTTCTTCTTTTGAAGGTATTTCCGCCTTCCCAGCATTTTTCGACTTCTTAGCTTTCTCATCGACACCAACTTTGCTGTTTGAATTGTCTGGATTGTCCCGGTGTTCACTTTCCAGGGTTCCGCCTGAATCATCTACATGGTGACTGGGCTCCCCATCGAGATCTGGTCGCGGCAGAGGAGGGCTCTTCATTTTCTGCTCCATCTCAACAGCCACGTCTAAAGCTTTTTTGTCATCTTTGTCTTTGATCTCAACACTTGCCTCTTTGTCGATAAGCATTTCGATGATCTTGGCTCTATTAGAAGATCCATCGGTGTTTATGCCCTTCACTGCGACATGTAGTGCAGTCCGTCCAAGCCTGTTCTGCGCATTGAGATCCTGGGCGTTGACTATTTTTTTGAGAAGTATTTCCACAATTTCTGGATTTCCACCGAGAGCTGCAAAGTGGAAAGGAGTCATGTCCGAATAATCTTTGAAATTCAGTGTCTTTACATGCAGCTGCGATTCCAGAAGTTGTTTAGTGGCTCCAATATTTCCTGTTTTCACGGCCCAATGTAATGGAACAAGGCCATCTCTCCCCTGTGATGGTATTGCGTTGGCGAACAAGAGTTTTTTGATAATTTCTTCTGCATTGACTTGCTTCGAGTCGACCTTTTGTTTCATAACGGCGTAGTGCAGGGGGGTACGGCCGGCAAGGTCACATCTATTAACTAGATCTTCCCCCTTCTCCACTAATTTCTGCACTGCTTCCAAAGAATAAATCACTGCGTAGTGTAGAGGTGTCCAACCAAGTATATCAGCAGCACCGACGAATTGGCTCATGTGTCCTCCATTCAGAGAGAACTTATTATCCTCGATAACTTCTTTGTGTAAAATTGTCTGCCCGTTTCTTGCCGATATTTTGACCTTGTCTTTGGTTTTATCGTCTAACAAGCCTGCCTTTCCAAAGTTCTTGAGCCGACCTTGCTTTGCATAAAGTGACTGCAGCATATATAGACATGTTTTATGATTAGATCTTAAGACAGCGACCAACTTTCTTTTACTCTTCTCCAATTTTACATCAGACGTTTCCATGTATTTCTTAGTTTCTGAGGCGGATGTAGCAGTCACAAGGAAGTCAACGGTAGTGCTGACTACTTTGTAGACAAAATTACCCTCTGGTGGTAGATCGTCGCACAGTATCAGTAATTTTCTATAAAGATTGCAAGCAGAATCCCGATAGCCCAGTTCATTATCTTTGGCGTTTTTTCGTACTACGTCTACAATGTCTTCGTTAGGGAGTTTGTCAGAATAGCTAAGTGGGGGTATTATCAGTAAATTAGCGTCTTCCAACGTTCCCAGGCCAGAACTCTCGACGGCTTTGGTCATTTGCTTGATTTTTTTGTTGGTTAATCGTAAAGAATTCCAGTTCGGGTGCTCCTCATTTAGTCTGAGCTCATCATTTCCTGGTAACACAACTTCTGTTGGGTGTTTGTTTCCCCTCTCAGATAGTGGCAAGAAATTTACAATTGCCCACAAAAAGGTGGAAAAAATATGTTGAGCGAGAAACTTCTCCTTCGAAACACTGGCGATCATGGCATAGTATGAGAATTTTGGGGAATATGCTCCCTTAGCAATTTTGTTGTGGTCGACTTCTGCTATTCGAAATGTTAGAAAATTGTCGAGTATTCATGCTATCCCGGAATAACCATGGGAACCCTCTTGATAAATATGACTAATGCCTAATGTTGAGCAGGCTGTAGGTGAGAAATAAAGAAGATATTAGGTTTACCTGGCAGATCAAAACCCATGCTGAGACATTGTGTGTCATTTTTACCATCCCATGAAAACTCACCAAGTGCTTCAGCACTCTCAATACCGGCCCACCACGCCACATCTCTTTTGAGTGTAGATCTTAAGGGGCCGATGACTCGTTGAAAGGAGTGTATATCACGAGCAATATTCTCGGTGCTATTCTGAGCCCGGTTACCGCTCTGGTGATCATCACTCAGATGATACATCCACAACGAAAGAATTGACTCAATGTCTTCGGCGGAGACGCTCCATAGGTTTCCTTTTAGATTTCCTTTTTCAGTCTTTGTCGCGTGAAGTTGAATTTTTTGCGTGGCGGTGTATTCACCTTTCCCAATCTTTACGTCAATGAGCCAATGAAAAGTAGAACCCGGCCACTCTTTGAATGAACTCATAGTTTTTTCGATTGCTGAGGCTACAGAGGCAGCGTTGGCTTTTATTACCGGATCAGACCAGCCAGTGAGCTGTCGAAGACGGTTTCGTACGTTGAGTACCTTCTGACCCTTGAAGCATTTTTCATTGGTTTCCCACCAGTCAGTGAGCTCCTGTAGACGTTTCCGAATGCGTACACATTTCTGCATCATTGGCTCATTCTTAGCAGGGTCCCAAGACGCAGTGGGCTTCTCCCAAGTGGTGAGTATTTGGAGACACTCTCTTATGAGAGCTTCAGGCGCTGCTCCGGACCCTTGGATAGGATCGTAGGATTCAGGTATTGTCGAGTCAGAAGTATTTGGTTCCACCTGGACAGGGATTTCTCGGCTACCGGCGCATACGTTGGTAATTCGAGGTGTTGGCAATTCACTTGGGCCAAGAACACGCTCAGCAGTCAACTCGTCGATTCGTTTCCGTACTGTAACAATTTCCTGAACTATCGACTCATTGGTGATGGGCATGAATCCGGAAGTCACTTGAACGGTTGGATTTATTTGACTGCAGATTTTCCATGAAGAATGACAGGGAGGCATATCTGTGTGACGAGCTGTAGATTTGCTAAGATCGCTCAAGTACTTGTCATCATTACCAATCCTGAGTGCAAGCCAGTCAATTTCAAATTTCTCCGGAATCTTCTGGGCGATAGGTTTATCCAGCATACCCCGACGAATAATGGCACGAACAACAGTCATTATCGAAATGGCAACAAGCTGTGCAATTGAACATACCCAGCTGATGCCGCGAAAGCCTTCAAACTGCAATATAAATCCAATGATTCCTGTAGATGTCCCTATGATGCAGAGCGTGTTGATCCACTTGGAAGTTGACTCATATGGTGGGATCTGTTTTGACGGTAGAGGAGGGTTTTGAGTCTTGGACGTCATCGAACAAGAGTGGGAGGATCTAGCACTTCTATTAGATACAGTATTTGGAGGCTGAATTTGGAGGCTGGACGTTTGAGAAGCCCCTGTTTTGTTGGAACTATCTTCGATGATAGGATGTGAAGATTCGGCACCCAAAGACTGTTTGTCGCCGCGGCAAGAGGTCATGATTAGTTCCTTTTCCATTCTTGCCATAAGCATATATGAATCGAAGGTCTGGTCGCTGACAACAAAGCGCTGTTGAAGCCAGAAAACAAGAAATTTTCGGGACTCTGAATCACCCTTCTTTGCATTGGGCTTGTGTCCTTCAAACGAAGATCTAGTCTTTCTTTCGCCGTCTTTCATTGGAATTTTGAAGAATACCCCAAAAACTCTTCTCCATAAATGCTTATGGTAATTATGAGAATCATTTGCACCTCCTGTTTCTACATCTTCACTGGAATCTTTGAATTTTGGCTGGTGATTTCCTTCGACCCGCTGCGTTGTAACATTGCCATCTGCTAATTCCCACACACTCTCATGGGTGCTCTCTCCAATGACTGAAGCGCAAATACCCATTCCGATGACCAGCACAGCTGTCCCACTAGCCAAAGTCGGGAACGCATAAGCGCTTGGGCGTCCGCCTACCGCAGCTCCGAATCGATTGTCGTAGGCAACAAAGGCAGAAAAGATAATGACTCCCGCCTGAAGAATGATGCCCAGAACGGCAGCAACAAACAATTCTCTTCTGTTTTGCTTAGGATGTATATTTAAAGAAATATTCGGAGCTCGATCCAAGCCGTCGTTTTTAAAATGACCCTCCTTGGAATTGGTTCCTCCAGACATGTTGTTGTGTGAGTCGTTGTTAGGGCTTTTTGATACACTTGTTCTTTTCCACAGCTCCTGTGTCTTATTTCGCCATAGTTCCTTTAGTATATCGATGAGTGGATCACTATATGCTTTTGAAAGCATCGAACGTGTCATTTCCAATTCAAACGAAGACACAGGACCCAGACGTACCTTTTTTGTCATATGTTTTAATATTTCAGGGTCAGACAAAGTGAAGAGACCAAATTTCTCCGTAGGATCACGTCCCTTCAGAAAGAGTATTTGTTTAACTTCACCTTTCCCCATGGTCCGGACTATACTGTGTCCATTCCATAACTCGGATACCTCATGTGAAGTTGAGGACATGAAATCAAGCTCTGCAGAGGCTCGATTCTCTCGTGCACGACCGATCAAAGCTTTCAGCTGGGGTGGACCGCCAACGCGAATGGCGCCTATAATAGCAGTAATGATGCCCAATGGAGCCATGGCGAAGATTATGTGGTCAAGCCATGTGAAAGATTCTCTCAGGAATTGTTGGGCAAAAGTTTCACCAAACAAGGCCAGAAGCCTGAGATTGTATCAGCGATGAAACTTTATGCTCGAACTTCCAATACTTACGGCCCTAGGTCCGAGAACAGATTGTTCGTGACATCTGTACCATCTGCACCGGCCTGCGAGGCTAGAAACAGCAGCAAAAAAATCTTGCGCTGCATTGATCCAATAGCTCTTGACTGGAGTTGGTAAGACTGCGTCCGATGAACTATTTTGCGATGGAAAAAAGATTACTCTACGACAGAGAATGTGTAAAGTCAAAAACCATCAAAGAAATGTTGCTATTGGAAAAGGCGAATGAGAATTAAGACGAAGAAGCCTCGAGACTGATGGATGGCATGAGTATTAGGTGTCTCAACACCTTCCATTCCATGAGCCCTGCTCCCACCATTACAATCACTAGGATCACAATGAGGTTGACTTACCGATCCCCGCGCACCGAGCCATTAGATGGTGTGCGGTTCATGTAAGTGCGGCAAGAGAGCCTGCCAGGTTTGTATTTATCCATCACGATGGCAAGTTCTCCATTGAATACAGATCAATATTCCCGGACTGTTCCGTTGCGGAAATCTAATCAAAGTGTTAGAGGTACCCATCCCACGCAGCATTTTTTGCAGATTTCCTCATTTGATGAGTATCGAATACAATCGTTCTGTGCTGCTGAGCTGTACGACACAATATCCAGCCATGGCTCGACATCGCAAAACATCAAAAGTTTCCTTAGCCACACTCGAAGCCCTAGCTTTCACGTGACGGGCTAAATTTATCATTTTTCTAGGTGGCTCTAGCTTTTAGGAAGAAGCAATCTGACAGCTAGATGACATCCAGGTGTGCGACTAGTCACTTTACCTTGAGCCTGCTCAGGCGTCTCAGCCGCATATACATATCGACTTCTTATTTGCCATCTTTCTACAATACTACCTCCCAACATTACTGAATAGCAGGGTGGTCTAATCAAAATTCTTGATTTCCTGCAATAACCTGGCCAAATTGTAACTCTACAATCAAAATCGGAAGAGTTTGCGATTAGATCTTCATATATTTGGTGATATAGAGAACACATGGAGTGATTTGTTTGGTACGAGATTTCCAGAGGATCACCGCAAGGGTAAATGGAAAGGCTGAATTGTATTGTTTCATTGACGCTTGAGGCTTGCGAGTTGTATTCTTCTTATCTGCACCAGTGTTGTTGAGATGTTTAATCAAGGTGTAGTAGAGAACAGTATGGGTATTGAGTGGCTGCGAATACCTACATGGTTATGAAATTTAGTAAGAAATTGCTTACTGTTGATACGGACTCCTTCAGTGTCTTGCATATTCATATACCCTGCTTTCCGGGATATATATTATCAGCTGGATAAGATGATGAGTGATGGCGAGAAGAATCTCTTTTTCTGGACGCATATCACCTGGGTATATCCAGGCTCCGGGAACTATGACAGATATGCGATGCTGTATTACAAGGTAGTGTGAAATAGGTTGGATCCCATATGGCAAGATCGGAGGTCTCTCTGAAAATTTTGCCGCCTGGGAGTTTTCTCAATTCGAAAGTATCCGACACAGCCCTATTCGAAAAGCTCTGCACAATCCATCAGTATTTCCTCTCTCTTTGCAGAGTTCAAATTCCTAGATGGGAAATCCCAAGAGATCATAGGCATTCTTTCTACCATCTTGCTTTCCCATACATGCCATACGTATTTTACATACATACATCCTCCCACATACTCTTCCCATTTCAAACCCCCCTCAATATCCTTCTGTCATGGGTATTCTTTTTCAACGTATCAAAACCTCTATCTACCGATCCTACTGTTCTAAGCCAGCTCAGCCAAGTCAATCTATACCCAGTCTTTCATCTTCGATCAAAAGTATCCATGAGATTGCCTCACACAAAGTCGTTGTGGATAACCTCAATACTGCTCATACAGCACGTGCCTCAATATACAAAGTCAAATAGATAAAATTATTCCAAGTGCTACGATATATGAGGTTAGAAGAATTCGTATATTTAATTAATCGCTGTTGGTACATTGTCAACTTTAGTATTGCAAAGACTTTAGTTTCTTAAAGTCTCCAGTCATCTGCTTTTTCAAATCCAACTCCGACTGCTCCAACGGAAGTCTCGTGTTTTCCCTCTTTGTGCATCACTTCCGGTTCCAGCAACCCCATCAACTCCGCAAATCTACCATCTACTCCCTTGGCTACCTCTACACTTCCTGCGATAATATCCTTGACTCCTGAACTCAAATTCCTAATCGCACCACCCTCCATACACGCCGCATCCCATTCATTCTCCCCTTGATTCCACCTCCAATTACCATCCAACGCCCACCTCATATCCCCCTCCACATCCATAAAAGTTCTCTTCCCCTCATTATCACTCTTCTTCCTCACCAACCCCCCATTAAACCACAGCAACTCCCCCTTCTCGTCCACATGCGCAATAGCACTCCCACAAACATCCTCCCTTCTTATCCCATCCGTCACATTCCACACATGCCTCCCAACAATCCCCCCATACTTCTCAGCAAAACTATATTCCACCCCACTCAACTCCATACCCAACCAATAAGTTTCCTTATCCCCATGCGTATTGCGATACGTAATTATTTCTCTCACTACGTATGTATTCTGCCAACACGCATGCAATAATCCCATAAGAACTCCCAATCTGCTCTTATCCAATACCACTACCCCAGAATCCTGTTCTTGTCCAAAATTCTCATTCATCACTCGAGATTTGCGAAATTTGCGGCTAGGAGTGTGATCTTTCATTTGCCAACGCCAGAATTCATGACGATATCTATATAAATTTTTCCCAATCAGTCTATCATGGAAGAATAAAGTCCCTGTTTCCGCATATGCAGCATGCGTATCCAAAATGATCTCTGGTGGCTGGAGAAAAATAGCATCAGAGTCGACTAAAATCACCTGTTCGAAGGCTGATGCTAAGAGTGCAAACGGTTTGATAGCCCATCTACTCAATCCATCTGATAATTGAAGTGTTGTATCATCCAAAAACTTTGTTAGATCCAAGAAATCAATTTCCCCGATATTGTGAGTGGAAAAGAGAGATAGAAGAGCAGAGCGATATTGAGGTGGGAGATCCGAATTTCCGGCATAGATTATTTGTATAGGTAACATTGATTTGAGAAGCTTATTATATGCAATGCGTATAATAAGTGGGCACTGGTCCCCAACATTTGTTTTCACTTCCCTAAATCGAATATATCCATCTTTGTAGAATAAAAAGTTACCTGCTAGAGCCTCTAGAGGCCTAGCCGTCCTATATAGTCTTAGACTGAACGTGGACGTAAATGAAATCAAATCAAATCAAATTGATTTGAGAATGGAACGGAGATTGAGGATAAGATGACATGTATAGCGGAATGTTTTTACGCCTGTAGGTATAACGATCCCGCGGGAGCCGGGCACAAATGATTTTCTGAGGTTGGCGAAGGAGGTGGGATTCTGGTTTGGCAGTTCGGTTCCTCTCTGTATGAAAGGGAAAAGAGAGATGATGGTCTTCTCTACTAGTGCTTCGTACTCCAAAAATGTCTTGGTAGTGGTTGGATTACCATCCACACCGATTTGCATTAACCATTTTGTGAGAATTTGGGTTCTTCTCCCCATCTCACCAAATTCATCTTCAGAAACAGGTACTTTGATAAAATGGCGAGCGACAAGAGAATTCTCCTTGATTTCATATTCCGTGATAGGTTTCAGAGTCGGTGCAGAACCCACATGGTCGAGAAATGATGTCGATTTACATGTCCACAAGATACCAAGTATGCAAAGTAAAATCAGAGACTTGATATTGAAGTCTTTATATCGGGCTTGACGTGGTATTCTAAATCTGATGATCGTTCTGGGTAAGGACAGACTTGATAGCATTCTGCCCTCCGTCGTTCTGGTACACCTCTCACCTAGATGCGAATACACATTCCAATAAGTGGTGCCAACTATGAATCCCTGCAAAGTTCGGCTTGGATCACTAAATCAATCCTTCTTTCAACAACTGACGTGCTTTAATCAAAACAATGCGTGTTTGCGACGGAAAGTGATGGTGATAGGAAAGCAATGTATCAGCTAGCACTGGCTCTGCGAAAAACGTAACACTAATAGCCCGAGAGCGACATATCAAACAAATCAAACGATTGTACGAAACATGATTCGGAAGCTCTGGAAACCTTTGAAGTCGAAAATGTCAACATAGACACTACAGCATCAAAATGTTGAATTTTCCTTCGTCGTTGGGAGATACTTTGGACTTGCGCGTCTAGGCCTTGAAGCAGAAATTAATTCTTACCTGATTAGGAAAATATTCAAGGGTCTCTGTGGAGAAATTTATGGGTCAAAAGGACCCAAGGAAAAATGTAAAATGCTTCGAAAACCACCGTAAGCTTATAAAGAACTTTGAAACTCTCGAATAGCACGTGAGTAGCTCTCAAGTCAATGCTATCCAGAAAACCACAGACGCAATAGATAGACGAAGTAGATTTCGAAAAGGTGAGGAAGTGAAAGTGTATCGCGAACTTTGCCACCTCACAAAATTACGATACACCAAAAGTGGGTATCAACTCTTTCGAGATACACCTTGATGAGCCATTCTGATAGATTGGTAACCTTGATGGGCTGTAACCTTTGTGACCGGTGTGAGCTGGAGTAATGATTCGTATATTGGCAAACGAGCTTGCTCTGTGTCACGGGATAAGCACTTCACAGTAAATCAAGCAAGAGGCACAGAATGTGTGGTCTGAGACGGCGTTAGGAAGGGTGATGACAGAAAAGCCTACAGCTTCCCGAGCATTGCCGACATCTCTTTACTTCACGGCGCGTAACCATGTAGATACACCTATCTAATGGTAACCATTTCGTTGGAATTACCAAGGATGTTTTTATTCGGAATGTTATATTCAATATTAGACCTCGAGAGTATCTTGATCACTCTGTGTAGTCGGTGAATATACCGTTAGGCACTTTACATCTGTAGACCTGACCCGACTGCATGTCGTCTAAAAAGTTTGTTTTGCCACTCTTCACCGAGTTATATAATCCCCACTTTTGGCGATTTTGATAGAATTTTAGCGAATCATGTCATCGTTTTCTTCCCATCCATTAGAGCTAAACTCATTAAAGTGATTATCACTCTCTTTCTTCTAAAGTGATTGGTCAATTTTGTCGGAGACCTGCATGAATGAGTCTAGTCAGGAACCGTTAGACGTTTGTAAGCCCTGCCAGCCACCAGTTGCCAGCCAATCAATAGACCTCTATTCCCCACATATCTGATGGCCGCTTTCTTCCATACACAGCAAAACATAACGATTCCTACAGACCGTCGACAAAATATTACACACCAACATCATTTCTCATATCTTACCCAGCTTTAATCAAAAGTATATCTCCAAATCTCAAATGATATCAGCTTAACGCCTTTACCTTTTCTTCTTTTGCTTGTGAGAAGGGGCAAAGCTCTTTAACAGAGCAGTGTTTGGAGATGGCGGGTCAATTCGTTTTGCTGCCTGACCAGATGGCTGCACTTAACGGTCAAGGAGGCCGCAGCCACAACTTTGAATTCGACTTGAACAACAAGAGCTCTTCATGTAGTCGAATTTGGGTATTTTTTCCCTTCAGTCTTCTTCACCTCGTCTCCCCTCCCATTTCAATGAATATCGCTGACGCAAATTCAAGGACCCTGTGAATGCAAGATTCGAAGCTTGCTTCATACCATTCATAGCCGGTATTCCAGCAGCCATCAGCGCCTTAATTATCCTTGGATTTCTCACACAATTGACACCAATCCCGCGTTTATTGCCATCATGGCTTCATCCATTCATAAAAGAGCCAGAGGAGAAATCTGGAGAGTTTGAAAGCAGGCGCCAACGGCACGTGCTCACACCCATGACAAAATACTTGTTGGCTGTCTCAATTACCGGTACATTATTACAGTTATCATCAATATTTTATCATAATGTCTACCAAAATCAAAACTTTCATATGATGGTGATGATATTTCCCACAATAGCATGGACAGTTACATGTCTCCTCATTGCTATCACTCAACCTGCGAAAACACCAAAATCTTTGCTTTTTCTCTACATCAGCATTTTTGTTTCACAGTACTTCGTTCTGCTTGATAGATACTCGAATATGAACATGCAGGACGGATCCTTGGTTCTTTCTTGGTTGGCTTCAATTGCAGCGATCATTATCATTCTGCGGATGCCCATGCGTGATCCATTCCTCGGTAATGATCGAATCAGTCCAGCATTTAGTTCACCGAGCGAGTCGCTTCGAAGTCCAGAGGACAATCTTACTCTATGGCAATTCATGAGTGTTTCTTGGATGTCGCCTCTCATGTCGATAGGGAAAGCTCAACAGTTGAATGAAGACAATGTCTGGAGCCTTGGCTACGAATTTCAACATAGAGTCCTACATGAAAAATTTAGAGATACAAATGGCTCAGTGCTAAAAAGACTTACAGATGTCACAGGGATTGATCTTGTTATACTTGGTTGTTTGGGAATTTACAAATCAGTTGCAGGTAAGCATCTTGTACATTCTTGGTATTATAGAAATAGAAACCTGATAGTTGACGTTCTTCAAGATATTGCTGCACCTTTGCTACTCCAAAAAATACTCGCAAGTATGGAAAATCAACTAGCGCCAAAGCAAGCCACATTGACTTACTCTCTGATTGCCCTCTTCATCCGCCTAATGTCTGCTCAATGCGACGTTTTTTCAACCTGGTATGGTAGACGTTCTTATGAGAGATCTCGAGGAGTACTCATTACAATGCTTTTCGAGAAATCGTTGTCAAGAAAAACGATTAGCGTCAGCACAAAGCCTAAAGAAGACGAGTTGACCAACGGGCAAAGCAATGGAAGCAATGGAACAGCTGGAACCAATGATATTGCCCTTCATAGTTCAGCAAAAGGTACTGTACTTCCATGGTGGAAGAAGGGCTTGAAAATCATTGCAAACCCCTTTATATCATGTTTTGGTTTGCGATCTAAGGAACCCAAGAAGCCAAAAGAACCAGCCACGATGGGAAAGATCCTGAATTTGATGAGGTTAGATTGCTTTTCTAATATTTCAAATGCTCACTAACAATTCCTGTAGGGGAGATGCTTATGAAGTTGCGCAACGGTGAGGGAAAACTCTCAAGATAAATATCTTTCTATGCTAATATTTGATTCAGATTTTGGGACTTTGCCGATTTCATTACTCGACCACTTGGGTTGTTTCTTTCCATTATTGCTGTTTGGAAGCTTCTCGGGTGGCCCTGTTTTATCGGGGTGATAGCCGTATTCATAGGTCAAGCTCTTAATGTTTTGGTTTTAAAAGCTCTTTTGTATTATGAAAGACAACGAAGAACTGCCTCTGATACCAAACTTCATAAAATAACACAGCTAGTTGAGTCAATAAGGTATGTTATTTTATTAGTTTCAGCTAGTATTGCTAGTCTTCACTTGAAATCTGGGTTTTCGAACTAAATTTTGATAGGCACTTGCGTTGGTATGGATGGCAAGATATTTGGCTAGGCCGCATTATGGAAGCAAGACAAGACGAACTATGGTTACGTGTCATAACAAGGGCTTGGGGTATTCTCTTGTCATTTGTTTACATGTTTTCAAGTGGGATGTTTCCTGTAGTGGCTTTCTGGGCCTATTGCGTCTGGGCAGGTCAGCCATTACGTGTTGATGTAGCCTTCCCTGCTCTCCAACTTTTTCAAATGCTTCAAATGGGATTGCAGACTGTTCCAGATCTTGTAACTACTCTGCTCAACGCTCGAATTGCAATGGGACGTATCGAAGACTTCATGAAAGAACCTGATAAGCCAGAGGTAGAGGCAAATCAACAGACAAACAGCCGACTTGAAATGAATGATGCCTCATTCGCTTGGCCTGGAGCTACGGCCCCTGTATTAAGGAACATGACTCTTTCATTCCCAGGTGGATTATCGCTTATATATGGGGAAGTGGCTTCCGGAAAGACGGCTTTATTACAGGCTCTGCTTGGTGAGCTTGATCATCTTAGTGGTTTATACAACCCTGTCAATGAGGTGGTAGGTTATTGTGCACAAACACCATGGCTACAGAGTATGAGTATAAGAGATAATATTTTGTTCTCTGCTCCATATCAAGAAGTCCGATACAAACAAGTATTAGATGCTTGCGCTTTGGTGCCAGATATGCTCAATTTTAAGAATGGAGATTTGTCCTTGATTGGTGAAAACGGAATTGGACTGTCTGGAGGACAAAGGGCTCGTGTCGCATTGGCACGAGCAGTCTATTCCAACGCAAAAATCTTGTTTCTTGATGATCCTCTTTCTGCACTTGACCACCATACAGCGGAGTCAGTGGTAAAGAAATGTCTGACGGGTTCGTTGGCAGAGGGAAGAACTATTATACTGGTGACTCATCGCACGGAGTTATGTCAGGGAATAGTACAACAGATTGTTAGAATGACAGATGGGACAGCAGAGGTGTTTGATCCCGACTCCATACCGTCTGAATTACTACACACAGAAAATTCGTCGAATTCTGTAGTGGGAGAGCAAAAGGAAGATGAAGATCAAATAGATTCAGCAATACCCGAAAAATTCATGGAAGACGAACATCGAGAGCATGGCGGTATCAGAGCTTCGGTCTATTGGGAATACATTAAAGCAGGAAAGCTGAGGTATTGGGCTCTAATCCTAGTGGTAATGACTGCTTTTCGTCTAATTGATATCGCCGAAACATGGTTTCTCAAATCTTGGGGAGAAGCATACGAAGGACCACGAAAACCATCCAGAGATCCCTTAAGTCGACTTCCTTCTCCAGAAACCAACATTCAGCCATGGTTACTTGGATTCTTTCTTCTTGCTTTGGCTCAGTCTGTTACTTGGG